CCCCCCTTTTTTTTAAAAACCCAAGCCAAAAAAAAAAACACCACAAAAAACATGAATGCATCTCACGTGCATGCTGCTCAGAGGAACACTAAAGGTGAGATTGGCCATCCAGCCCATCGTGTAGTCTTGGAGGGGGAAGGCAAAGGTACCCTCGAAGTGACCGTCGTTCTGATAGGCCAATTTAGTCATGTTGACTAAGATACCTCCACCGACCAGATGTGGCACTGGAGAAAAGGACTGGGGTTACTTTATTTAGTTATTAGTCGCTTGGACAACATTAACTTTATGTTTCATTTTACACAAAACGAGGGCATTGCCGGGATTTAAAGAAGCTTTTACATGTTCGCCAGACCTTGATTGTGATGATGATAATAATAATAATTATTTTTATCATCTTATTACTATTATTACTATTGTTATTATCATAATTTACAAGTTGCTGTTTTCATGTGATATGTAATAATTGCTTCTTTCAGCTGATTAACAATACCAAACTTACGCGGCCTCACAGTTGCAGGTGTCGTTGGGGGCAAGGTCTGTCCAGGAGCGGCTAAGGACAAATGAATAAAAATAAAACATTTCATACAAATGCATAATGTACAATGGGATTTTAAAGGGGTTTAAAAAAAGAAGAAGGTGGATCCTCCACACAGCAGGAGAGAAAGAATTCGACAACCACTTTGTTTTATTTGTTTTAGCAAGGTTTTTACGGCGCTCGCAACTGCATAAGGTCATAATAATGTGAGCGCCTTGGGGTGGATGTCAACAGAGAAGTCCGAACGAGGACTCCGGCTTACTCTTCTCTCCTCTCTAGCCTCAACAGCACACAATCTGCTCCGACTATTAAGACACCCAGGAAATAGCAGTTCATTAGAGAGTGGCAAACAAACAAAAGAAGTAGAGGAATAATGAACATAGTAGGAATGAGGAAAGAATACGCAGCAGCAGTTCCCCCTACGTTGTTCCGGCACAGTATGAACATGACATTGATAAATCAGACCGTTTACAATTTTATTCAACTGTACTTAAGAACATTTCAATATCCCTACTTTGGGAATGGCCTTGAGACACTTCAGTCAGTAGCACTGCCAGGGGGGTG